CCGGGCCGGGGCGATGGCTCTGGGGTCTCCTCCGCCGTGGCGGCCCTGGGCCCTGGTGGGATCCCTGGTGTCACCGTGAAGGGCTCTGCCTGGGAAAGGTTCCTGCCGTGCGGGTCCCTCCGGTGCTCTGTCGTTCCGGGCTCCCTGTGTCACCACGGAGGCTCCTCTCTCGCCATAGGCGTTACTGTGTCCCCCGGGGTCTCTGCCTGAAGGACCCTGTCCCATTACAGAGCTTCCTTGCATTGCGGGGTTCCCGTGGCACTTCTGCAGCTTCTCCATTGGAGGCCCCTGCGATGTGGGGGACCCTTGCCGTCGTGGGGTGTCTGTGACCGTCATGTGGGTGTTTGTGTTATGCAGGCTTCTGTCACTGGGGCTTCCTGTGTTCTGGGGGAATTGCGTGCCATGACAAACCCCTCTCATTATGGGGGTCTCGGGGTCACCGCTGGGGTCCTAGCCTCAGGGCCGGCTGAGGTGGAAACAGTCCAGCTGGTGCATCACGTGGCCTCACCCACTGGCCACAGCACGATGACCCCGAGCTCTTGGCAGTGACCCCTGGGTGGGTGACAGAGCCAGGATGGGGGTCGGTTGAAGGGGCTGGGGGAGCGTGGTCAGCTGGGGATGGGGCCAGCAGCAGGAGTGTGGCCCCTGCCCCTGCCTGCACCCCTCCCCGAGTGTGTCCATCTGTGTGTCTCTCTGTCCCCCACATGCCCACCCTGTGCCGAGCCCATCTGTTCCTTTCTCTCTTCTGTGTGGATCCTAAAATCTTCCCAGGGAAAAAGCCGGGAGAAAGTGGGAAGGGAAGGAGGGAAAGGGCAGGGGGTGAGTGGGCAGAACCTGCTCCCGAGGTGGGGTGGGTACCCAGCTCTGCTCCCCACTGATGGCCTGTCTGGCTTCTTCCTCCAGTGCTCAGCATTGGGGAGGGCGGTTTCTGGGAGGGAACCGTGAAAGGCCGCACAGGCTGGTTCCCGGCGGACTGCGTGGAGGAGGTGCAGATGAGGCAGCATGACCCACGGCCTGGTGAGTGACCCCACGGCCCCCTGGGCAGCTCCCAAGGGGACCACCCCTTCCAGTTTCCCTTTGGTCTCTCTTGGTGCTAAATCCACATGGATATTCACAGAGAAAAGACTAGAGGTAAACTGAAACAAACACTCAAAGTAGATGCAAACTTGTGTATGTGACACAGACACGTGTGCACACACTCTGCATATATTTGGGAACATGCGTGTATGTAAGCTGACACTTCACGTGCAGTGGAGACACATAGGACATGCGTGACGGGGCCTCTGTCTGTGTGATCCCACACTGACTCCCGGTGACTCGCACCCCATCGGCACAGTCCTTCCGAAACACCAGGTGTGTGGAACGCATGATTTCTGCGTAGCTGGCAGACATGTAAGGAGGTCAGTGTGAGAAAAGAGGCGTTTTTCCAAAGTGGACAGATTGTCCAAGTGGGCAGAGCAGGGAGGCCCGGAGCAGCCAAGAGGAAATGAGGCCAGTTGGGCCTGGAGGTGCCCTGGTGAGTGCCCTGGGGCAGGGATGGTCTGAGGGCAGCAGGTGAGGGTGGGCTGGTCCTCAGCCTGCAGGGAGGATGTAAAGGTGAAGGCTACAGCTCCTGGGGTTGGTGAGTGGCCGCTGTCCAGCCCTGCTGACCATCTGGTCCTTTGGCGGCCCCCGGGCTGGAGCTGGGTGCATGTCTTGGGGGTGCCCATGTGAGGAATCCTCAGGGGTCCCAGGAGGCCTCCAGATCCATGCACGTGCTTCTGTCCTAGAGAGCTGGTGGGCCAAGCAAACCTCTCCTGAGTGACGGTCACTGGGGGTCATCGGTGGTGTGTCTGGATCAAGGGTGCATGCACCCTCCCTCTGCATGTGAAGGGCTCAGGCCTGGGGTTACTGTGTCCCCATCTTTGGGATGAGAGTTTCCCAGCGACTCCACCCCTGTATGGCCTGGACCCCTGCCCTGTGCTGAGCCCAGGAGAGGCCCAGGGAGTCAGGAGCTTGGCCACTGACCCTTTCCTGAGCAGGTGCCCTTTCCTCCTTCCTTGGCCTTGTCCTGCCTTGCTCTGACGGCTCTCCTGGTGGCTTAGAGTGTGGAAGGGACTTGGCCCCCTGTTCTCAGCCCATGGAGGGTGGATAGGACAGGGTCCAGATGGGAAATGCTGTCAGAGATTTGGGCCCTGGTTCAGACAGTATGGGAGAGGGGAGGGGAAGGAGAGGTGGGGGGAATCCACACCTGTGGCGGAGCGGGTCTTGAGCTCCCCCACGTGGTGATGAGGAAGGTTCTGGTTTGAGGACTGTGTGGAATGAGGGGCATTTGGACCTAAGTCTGAAGCTGACGGAGAGGGAGGGAGGTTTAGGCTGGAGTCAGAATTGGAGAGCAGCAAATGTTTTTTAGGTGTTTGTCATGTGCTGGGCCCTGTGCTGGGAGCCGGGATCACGGAGGCTCAGCTGGAAGCCTTGTGGGAGCAGTGGCTGTGACGAGGGCCGTGTGAGCGTGGGAGCTCCCTGGGTTGACCTGAAGGAGTCAGAGAGGGCCTCAAAGCAGAGGCACTGTCTGAGCTGAGTCCTCTAGGTGGTCAGTGGATGGGGCTGAGGGGACAGCCGTGTGTGCAGGGCCTGTGTGTGTTCTACAGCTGTATGTGTCAGCAAGGTCTGCTCTGAGTGCCTGGCACAGCTTTAGCACTTCTACATGTAGAAGTCGTTGACTCATCCCAGCAGTCCCGAGAGGTGGGGCCACTTGTTATTATTCCATTTCTCGGGGGTCATATAGCCCTGAGGAGCAAAGTCTTGTTTGCAACATAGGCAGCAAGTTCTACGTGAGTGGAAGGGCAAGGCTGGCGTGGGGACCACGAGGGTGGTCAGGTGGCCATGGAGTCAAGGGACAGCGTGGCATCATGGCGGAGGGAACCCAGCAGCAGCGTCTGATTGTGCAGGTTGTGTAGGTTCAAAGCCCGGGGTGGGCAGAGCAGAGCTGTGGAGAGGAGTGGGCCAGTGTGGGCTCGCAGAGCAGCCAATGTGGGGTTTGGGTCTGGGCTCCAGGCGGCAGCCGTGGTGTGTGTGACCCAGGGAGTGAGTGTCAGAGGTCCCGGGGTAGACGGGAGTATTTCATGAGTGGGCAGCAGGAGAGGAACCTGCGGAGGCTGCCTGTGAAGGGTAGGGAGTGGGAGCAGTGACAGTCCCCTCTGACCTCGGCTGCAGGCCCCGCTGACCACGCTGTGCAGAGCCTCTGCTCTGGGATCCCGGGGCCGAGTTCTGCCAGAGGCCAGAGTGCAGCCCAGGAACAGGAACCTGCTTCCAGCAGGCCCAGATTCACTTCCCCCACCCCCCAAAAAAATCCATTTCTGGGACTGGAGCGGGGACAGAAAAGGACTTAAAGGTCAGGGAGGGGACACGGTCCCTGTGCATGCAGGGGCTGGTGCCCAGGGCCTGTGCCGCTGTGGGATCGGGAGAGGAGTCCTGGTCACTTACCGAGCAGAGAGCGGGTCTCCCACAGCGCCTCCTGGCGGGCAGAGGGTGGAGCTGTGAGGGAGGGAACGGAGAGGCGAGGTCAGGTGCGTTCGGGAGGCCCAGCATGAGCAGGGCCCTGTGCCTTCCCTCTCCTCCCTCCTTCCCTTTCTTGGCAGTAAGGTCAGCACTTGGGTGGGTAGTGGAGGATGGCTGTGTTGGGCATTTTCTCTGCAGCTGGCTTTTATGTGTCTTATTAACAAAGCTGGAAAAATGAATTTGTGTTATGTAATACGTACAATTTGTTTGGTTGACAACATCCGAAAACAGGAGGCTGGTCAAGTGCAAGTTTGGGGGGTTCTTTAGCAGGCAGCACCATGACACTATGTGGTTCTGTCGACACAGAGAAGGGTGTGATGGAGGAAAGGAGGGGTCTGATGCCCCACCTGAGCGGTGATGAGGCTTGGCCTGAGCTGGCCTTAGGTTCGGCAGGATGAGGGGTGCAGGTGTGGTTGGGGAATGCCAGGATAAGATAATAAGTCGTTAGAACCAAGGAGCTCCTCCAAGTTGGAATTTTTGTATTCTATATGGGCAGGCTTAGAGGGGACTGTTGACTTACTGAGAGTCACACAAGTTAGTAGCTGGGACCTGGAATCCAGCCCAATACTGTTTTGATATCTGTGTCTTCTGATGGGAATAGGTGCCCTTTCCTCTTTCCATCCGGCCACTGCTCCACCTATGTTTACAGCCGTCTATCCTTTGACTCACCCACCCATCCCACCATCATCTTCTTGTCCGTTGACTCACTAGCCAACCCAGTCCACCACCCCTCCCTTCCTCCATCCATCATCCATCCACCTCTCCACCTACCTGTCTACCCACCCAGTCCATCCATCCATCTACCCATGTATCTGTCTGCTCTTTGACCTATCCACCCATTGCCTTCTCCTTCCCGCCCTCCATCCACTGGTCCAGTGCCTTTCCATCCACCCTTCTGTCCATCTATCTCATGTGCACCTGTCCACCCATTACTCTCCTAGTCAGCATGCAGAATGCCTGCGACACACCAGGTGCCGTGCTGGGCGCTAGGATCACAGAGATAAAGAACATGTGGTCCTTACCCTCAAGGAGCTCACAATTAGTGGGGGAAACAGGTCATCGAAAGCTGCAGGTTCTCTTTCTGATCTCATTTCCTGCCACTCTCTCTAGCTCCGTGTGCTCCAGCTGCACAGGCTCTGAACTCCCTCAAATGCTGCAGGCTGATGCCTGCCGTGGGCTTCCCCCGACCACCCCCGCTCCTGGGAAGCCCTTTGCCCACATATCCACAGGCTGCTCCCCATCCTCGGCCTCTACTCAGCCCTCCCGTGGGGGTGAGGCCTTTGCGTGCCTTTCTCTGCCCTCCCTGATCTGCTCACTGGTCTCCTGAGCACTTGCCAGCATTCACATGCTATGTCTTTATCCTCTGTTTATCCTGCCTCCCTGAGCAGATTATAAACCCCACGAGTGCAGAGACTTTGTTCTCTTCTCTGCTGTATTTGCAGAGCTGGTACACAGTAGGAGCTCAATATATACTTTTTTTTTTTTTTTTTTTGAGCTCAATATATTCTTTTTTTTTTTTTTTTGAGACGGAGTCTCGCTCTGTCGCCCAGGCTGGAGTGCGGTGGCTGGATCTCAGCTCATTGCAAGCTCCGCCTCCCGGGTTCACGCCATTCTCCTGCCTCAGCCTCCCGAGTAGCTGGGACTACAGGCGCCCGCCACCTCGCCCGGCTAGTTTTTTATATTTTTTAGTAGAGACGGGGTTTCACTGTGTTAGCCAGGATGGTCTCGATCTCCTGACCTCGTGATCCGCCCGTCTCGGCCTCCCAAAGTGCTGGGATTACAGGCTTGAGCCACCGCGCCCGGCCAGGAGCTCGATATATACTTGCTGAAGGAAACCATGGATCTTGAGAAACGCTACCAAGAGAGGAAACGAGGAAGGTGCTGAGGGATGAAAGCGAGGCAGTGGTGCTGCTGCCCGCAGGGCCTTTGTGGTCCTGGAGAGTGGAGCTGCGGGGCTGGGAAGGCTGGCGGGGGGGGCTTACAGGCAGCTGGAGGAGCTCGTGGGAGCAGAGAGGTCATGGCTGGAGGTGTGGCTGGAACCTTCTGGTCAGTGAGGGTGGAGTGGTGGTCAGACAGCTGACTAGCTTGGCCATGTGGGACTTTGAGATCAAGAGGACAGTTGGGGACCAAGCTCTGTGGGATGCATTGAGGTCAGGGCAGGGGACCCAGCCCCCACACCTGGATCCCCTGCCCCACTCAGAGACAGTCTGAAGCAAGGGACCCCATGAGGTTGAGCATCAAGGAGCTGTTGTGAAGAAGTTGGTGAAGACAATGCTGGAAGGATGCTGCTTCCATGCCAGCGCATGTAGGCATATAGCACGGCATTTGTACATGAGTGTGGGTCATGCAGATACAGATGTACACACATGCATGAACACACCTCACACACGTGCCCGTGATGGCAAGTCACACAGACACATGAGCACAGCACTTGCACATAGTGAGCTCATACAGAGACACGTGCATGAGCAGAGCATCCACCCATGACCACGGGGCACACACACGTATGTGCACGCCCCCCTCTGCTCGCAGCCTTGGGGCTCACCGATGCTCTGTGGACGGCTCTGGCCTTGTCTGGACTCCTGTGTTCAGCAGCTGCTTAGAAAAGAGAGGAGCTGCTGCCCCCTCTTGAACCCTGACCCACAGAGGTCAGAATTCCCTATATCATCCCCTCAGCCTTCTCACCTCTGGACCCAGGACTCCAGGGGCCCCCTACTTCCATCTGGACACAACCAGGCCAAGCGGGTGTGTGTGGGCAGAGACTGGTGACCAGCATGGGTGAGGGCAGTTTAGGCAGGCCAGTTGGAGGCCACAACTGTCCATCAGCTCTTGATACTCCCTTCAGAGACGCGAGAGGACCGGACGAAGCGGCTTTTTCGCCACTACACAGTGGGCTCCTACGACAGCCTCACGTCACACAGGTACGCGCAGGGACACTGGCTGGCGGGAACATGCGTATGGGACGTGCCGTGGGGCAGGACCTGCAGTAGAGAGGGAGGCCAGGAGCTGGTCCAGGAGGCCAGGTGTGAAGAGCTCAGAGGAGGGTGAGGGAAGGGGCCCGGCCGACCTCTCTTCTGCTCCGTGGCCCGTCAGTCCCGGGGTGACTGCAAGGTGGACTGTGGCCGGCCGGCCAGCCTCGAGGGAGGACTTACCTCACTCCTCCTGCTTTCCTTCTTCAGCGATTATGTCATTGATGACAAAGTGGCTGTCCTGCAGAAACGGGACCATGAGGGCTTTGGTTTTGTGCTCCGGGGAGCCAAAGGTAATGGGGAGTGGGTGCCGGGGCGTCAGGCAGGCAGGGGCTGCACACGGCTCGGGGGTGTCCTCAGCTTCTTGCTTCTGCCCCCTACTCTGCTCTACCCCGCACTCCCTCCCTGCCTTGCCCCTGCGCCTCCCTACTTTTGGCCCCGGCTTTCCTTACTCCTCTGCTGCAGTCGGACCCTCATGGTTTGCAATGTCCTGGCCCAGGCGGCAATTCCTTCCCTTCGTCGTTTTCCACTGTCTTTGCTCTAGAGTCCAACTGAGTGGGGGCCTTTCTGGCGTGGGCGAAGGGGGTTTCGCAGAGGGTCATGTCTAGGATCCCTGGACCGGCTAGTCCCTGTGCTGTGGCTCCCCGTGGCCCTCCCCCTGCCCCGGGTCACTGCCCCCTGCAGTCATCTCTTTCCTGTGCTGAGCCACTCGGAGGTTGCTGTGTGGCAGCCGCCCCCACCTGAACCTCACTGGTGAAGCGCCTTCCTAATTGCCCCCCGCAGCAGAGACCCCCATCGAGGAGTTCACGCCCACGCCAGCCTTCCCGGCACTGCAGTACCTTGAGTCGGTGGACGTGGAGGGCGTGGCCTGGAGGGCCGGGCTTCGCACGGGAGACTTCCTCATTGAGGTGAGGCCGTCCTGGCTGGCACTGCCCAGTGGGATGCTGACCCCTGAACCCTGTGGCGGACGTGCCCGGGGGCCTCCCCACCCAGCTGCCTGTCTGTCCCAGGTGAACGGGGTGAACGTGGTGAAGGTCGGACACAAGCAGGTGGTGGCTCTGATTCGCCAGGGTGGCAACCGCCTCGTCATGAAGGTTGTGTCTGTGACAAGGAAGCCAGAAGAAGACGGGGCTCGGCGCAGAGGTGAGGGGTCACGCTTTAGGCCTCTGTGCCCAAACTTTCCCCTGACCTTAGACCTTTGACTTTAGGCCCACATTCCTCTTCCCATCCCTGACCCCCAACTGCTGACATCAGATTCCTGAACCTTGATGAACCACCCACATGCGTGGGCTGGGGCCCCTCCCAATCCCTGGTGTTAGACTGCCAGTCCTGTCCCCTGGCCTGAGGCCTTTGACCCCTGACCCCTGACCTCAGGCTGCGCCTCCTCAGATCCCTGCCCCCTCCTTCCCGGCGTTCCCCCAGCCCCTGGCGTGGCAGAGCCCTCCTTCCCTACACCGCCAGCAGCTGCCTGGAGGCCGGGGTTGCCATAGCAACTGTGAGGTTGACGCTGCCGCGCTGCTTATTGTCGGAGGGAAGGGGGAGGCGGCACCTGAGGGAAGAGGAAAAGCGTCTTCTCCCCGCGACGACGCGGCACAGCCTGGGCCCAGGAGGCTTTGCCGGCCAGGCCCAGCCCAGGCCCGCGGCTTGGCTGACCACACCCTGGCCCCACAAGGGGCAGCGGCCACCCGGGCCTGGGGGGAGCCCTGGAGCAGCAGGAGCCCCGCCCGCAAGGAGACCCTCCCAGCCCCCACCTCATGGCTCTGGTGCCCCCTCGCGTAGCCCTCGGAGCCTGCAGGGTGGGTGCCCAGGCCAGAGCCAGCTGGTACCGTGCCCCCCACCAGCACCCTTGATTGTCTCCTGAGGCCCTGGCTCTGGGGGTTCCCAGGGCCCCTGAGGCCCTGATCGCCCGGGCCCCCCCCCACTCCCTGAGCTCCTTGCGCCATGAAGAAGTTTGCGTCCAGCCGTAGCCTGAACAAGATCCTGGCACAGTGCGACTCATCCTCGCGGGAGTACGAGGAGATCCAGGCAGTGGAGCGCAAGTGGCACCTGCACCTGGCCACGCCGCGCCGCCTGCTGCTGGACAGGAGGTCCAAGGCCTCCCTCTTCTTTGCAGCCCCACCGCCCCCCAAGAGGGCCCCCAGCACCACACTGACCCTGCGCTCCAAGTCCATGACAGCTGAGCTTGAGGAACTCGGTGAGTGGCGGGGGTGGCCGTGGAGGTGGATGCAGGTGGACAGTCCATGATGGGCAGACAGGGCCAGGAGGCACAGGTAGTATGGGAGGCCAGGGGGTCAAGCCAGAGGGGAGGAAGGACAGGTGGATGTAGGAGCAGGTCAGAGGTGAATGGGTGGGTGCTGGCGTGATGGGGACATTTGGCGCTTGTAGGGTGAGGAGTGGGATGGCATGTGGAAGGGGTGAGATGTGAGGGGCTGGGGATGGACAGTGGGGTGTCCAGGACAGATGACGGGGAGCAGGGCCTGGCCCACCAGTACGTTTGCACGTGTGCATGTTTGTGTGTGTGTGCTGCCTCTGGTTTTCCACATCTCCACTTTGACTTTACTCCTGCATTTCATCCAAGTGAAGAAAGAGCAGCAGTCAGGTGACCGGGGTCCACTCTGGCTCTGCCAGGCACTGGCTGTGTCAGCTTTGTGTTTATTTTACCCTCTTGGTGCCCGTGCCCTCATTGGCCAGGTGGTCCTGCTGACCCCACAGGCCACAGGCACACTGTTGAACGCTGGGGCAGGACCTCGAGTGTGGCAGGAGGGGAGCAGGAGTGTGCTGGGCTTCGATGGGGCACGTTTTGGGCACAAGCCGTGGTTGACCATCAGCAGCTTCTTCACGGGCAGGTCTTACATATGTGTCCATCAACAGCCTTGTCATGGGCATGTCCAGATATATTTGATCATATCCTGACATGTGACCGTCAGTAGCCTCTTCACGGGCATGTCCCAGCACGTGTGACCGTTGTCCTCATTGTGGGTATGTGCTATACGTGTGGCCATCAACAGCCTTGTCATGGGCATGTCCGAGTATACGTGACAGTTGACAGGCTCTTTCTTTCTTTCTTTTTTTTTGTTTGAGACAGAGTTTCACTCTTGTTGCCCAGGCTGGAGTGCAATGGCACATTCTCAGCTCACTGCAACCTCCACCTCTTGGGTTCAAGTGATTCTCCTGCCTCAGCCTCCCGAGTAGCTGGGATTACAGGTGCCTGGCCCCCCGGCCGGGTTATTTTTTGTATTTTTGGTAGAAACAGGGTTTCACCATGTTGGCCAGGCTGGTCTCGAACTCCTGACCTCAGGTGATCCGCCCGCCTTGGCCTCCCAAAGTGCTGGGATTACAGGCGTGAGGCTCTTTTCTTCCTGTGGTCTAAGCCCAGTTCTGTCCCCAGACTTTACTCTGCCTCTGGTCATAGAAGGAACCCCAACTCTGGTCCTAAACCGAACCCTGGAGTCCGGGCCACAGGAGGGGACCTCATTCTGGTTCTAGGCTGAGCCCCATCCCTGGCTTCAGTGTTGGTTCCACCCCAGCCATAGAAGGATCCCTTTTGCTGGCCCCCAGAATAATCCCTGACCTTACTCATGAACTGAGCCCTGACCCTATCCTGGCCACAGGCTGAGCAGATGGTCTTAACTGCAATTTAGTTCAGTGTGGAGAACAGCTACCAACATGCATTGGACTGACATGGTCAGAATTTTCACCATAGCTATTGCAAATAAAGTAAAACCAAAAGAAAAAAACAAAAAACCTCATATAGATAATTCAAAATGAAAAGGAGAGAAACCAAAGCCAGGGGCTTCTGTAGCTCATTATCTAGTACCCAAGGGCAAGGAGTTTTGGGATCCTGAGGCCCTCACAAGGCTGGGAGACGTGGCTGGACCTGTGAGAAGCGGGAAGGTTAAAAGGCCAAGCGCAACAACTGGAATTAGCATCGAAAGAACTAGAAATCAGAGAAGAATATGAAAAACATTAAAATAAAGTAAATTGTCACAAAGATTAAAAGAACTAACTGAACTAATGAGAGAACAGGACAGAACAAATAAGCAAAAAAAGAATAAGCACATTTTAGAATAGAGTGATTTTTTTTTTTTTGAAACTGAGTCTCGTTCTGTTGCCCAGGTTGGAATGCAGTGGTGCGATCTCAGCTCACTGCAACCTCTGCCTCCTGGGTTCAAGTGATTCTCTTGCCTCAGCCTCCCGAGTAGCTGGGATTAGAAGCGGCCACCACCACACCCAGCTAATTTTTTGTATTTTTAGTAGAGATGGGGTTTCACCATATTGACCAGGCTGGTCTTGAACTCCTGACCTTGTGATTCACCCACCTCAGCCTCCCAAAGTGCTGGGATTACAGGCGTGAGCCACTGTGCCTGGCCAGAAGGATCCTTAAAGAACTGTTACTGAAACAAAAAGTATAGTCACAGATAAAAAAGAAAGCCATGGCTGGGATAAACAGTACACTAGACCCAGGTGAAGAAAGAAACAGCAGGTTAGAAGATAAATCTGAGGTTACCCAGAGTATAGCACAGAAATATAAGGAGATACAAAATATCAAAGAGCAGTTAGGAGACACTTATCACATAGATAATTCAGTGGGACTATTGGGAAAATCCCAGCATCTACCTAATGCAAGGCCTGAAGGCAATATTTGGAGATGAGATGGCTTAAGAATTTCCCAAAGTTGAACAAAGACATGAGTCTTCAGTTTAAAGAAATATAAGTCTCAGCAAGGAAATGAAAACAAATCTGTATCCACGTCTTTCATAGTAAAACTGTAGAACGCAGTGAACAAGCAGAAATCTTTAAAACAATGAGAGAGGCTGGGTGCGGTGGCTCATGCCTGTACTCCCAGCACTTTAGGAGGCCAAGACAAGTGGATCACTTGAGTCCAGGAGTTTGAGACCAGCCTGGGCAACATGGCGAAACCCTATCTCTACAAAAAATACAAAAATTATCCTGGCATAGTGGTGTGTTCCTGTGGTCCCAGCTACTCAGGAGGCTGAGGTGGGAGGATTGCTTAAGTCTGGGAGGTAGACGTTGTAGTGAGCCAAGATCGTGCCAGTGCACTCCAGCCTGGGTGACAGAGCGAGACCCTGTCTCTAAACAAAACAAAACAAAAAATGATGAGAGAGAGACTGGCCGCTGGATGTCGTAGACGGGAGCAGTGGTTCAACTGACAACAGACTTCTCATCAGCAATAGCAGATGACAGTAGATGATGGAAGAAGAGCTTCAAAGTGTGGAGGCAAAATTCTTTTCCACCTAGAATTCTATACCCTGCTAATCCTCCTCATTCAGGAGTGAGGCAGAGAGGCTAGCAGACTTCTGGCCCTCGGGTCATAAGGGTCCAGGGTCAGTCACGGGAGCTGACCTGTCAGTTGAAGATCCAAACTGATCAATAAGCACTGGTAGGCAGGTGGGCCCCAGGATTCTCCTGCCAGAGGCTGTCACGTAGCCACGATCAACTGCATGTCCAGAAGGAACTCTTCTGTTCGGCACCACGAGGCTTTTGGGCAGCCTGAGATCCGTAATCCTGGGACCCAGGGACTCTGCCCTGTGAAAATGAGAGAACTGCGCTTTGCCCTCTCCTCTGGGCTGGGTGTTCCCTCTTCTGCAACAAGCCTCAGGACAGGTTGCTGGAGTCACTCGACAGACCCTGGTCTTCCAGAGGAGTTGCTCACAGCTTCAGGCCACCATAATTTTCCAGGCTTTTTCCCGAGCAGTCTGGGGGAGGATGAAGGGACAGCTTAGCATGGAGCCTCTACCCACACTTCTGGAGCTCAGGAAGCCACCTGTCCCCAGGAGACAGCTGTCCTGGGAAGCCAGCAGAGCTTCTGGAAGTCCCCTCTGGAAACGCCTGATTTGAGGAAGCCGTGCCAGCCTCAGGGTTTCCCCAGGTACCAAAGGGACCATCCCACAACCCAGTGGTTTTGCTTTCAGAAGATAGAAATGAGGCCTGTTGGTCATTGCTGGCAAGAACACATCAGAACTGCCTCACACTGTCAAGCGCTATTAGAGCCCTTTAGGATTCATAGTCTATCGAGAAGGTGCCTGAACACCTAAAAAGAAAAAGTGAGGTGTCAGAGAAAGCAGGTGCAAGGCGGAGGCTCCTGTCCAGGTGGCTGTTTGCTGCTCAGAGGATGTGGGAGAGGCATGGCCCTGTTGGGGGAAGGAGAGGGAGGGGGTGTTCTCTGGGGGAATGGGGTGAGCAAAGGCTGGTGCCTGGAAAATGAAGGGTTGCAGAGATGGGAATGAGAGGAAGGGGCTGGGTGGGGACCCTCCTGAGACAGGTGGTGAGAGAGAGAAGAGGGCAGAGCACCCCTCCTCCCCCTCAGCACTGGGGACTCTTCACAGCCACCACATGCATGTCCACACAGCTTGTACCAGGAATGTGCTGGGGCCACAGGTCAGTGGAGACCCAGGCCAGGGAAGGCCCTGGCAGGTCCAAGCCCTTCCTGTGTATTCATGTTCCCAGGAGAAATCTGGACTCCCTGTAATTTCTGGGCCCCTTTTTTTCTTTTGTGATGAGAACATCAGGGTAGGTGCCACACCCAGCATCTGTGTGAGTGGCCTTGTCCTGGAAAAGGTTTCTTTGCCAAACACATTTGTCCTGCCTTTTGTTTTAAGACCGACTTTGAACAGAACACACAGGTGACCACCTTGGTTTTCCGCGACACCTGAACTTGTTTTCTATGGGGTTTTGCCTTTTTTCTGAACAAACCTTTGACTGAGCCAAGCATGATGGAGTTGTGCACATCTCCCTGTGTTTGCGTGTCTGTGCGTGGGTGAGTGGACATACACTGTGTGCACTTGCATGGGTGTGGCACACATGTCTGTGCGTGGATGAGTGGACACATGCTGTGTGCACCTGCATGCCTGTGCGTGGGTGAGCGGATATGCCCTGCGTGCACCTGCATGCGTGTGGCACACGTCTGTGCGTGGGTGAGCGGACACGTGCTGTGTGCACCTGCATGCGTGTGGCACACGTCTGTGCGTGGGTGAGCGGACACGTGCTGTGTGCACCTGCATGCGTATGGCACACGTCTGTGCGTGGGTGAGCAGACGCGCTATGTGCACCTGCATGTGTGTGGCACACATGTCTGTGCGTGGGTGAGCGGACACATGCTATGTGCACCTGCATGCATGTGGCACACGTCTGTGCATGGGTGAGTGGACATATGCTGTGTGCACCTGCATGCGTGTGGCACACATGTCTGTGCGTGGGTGTGCGGACACGCGCTGTGTGCACCTGCATGCGTGTAGCACACGTCTGTGCGTGGGTGTGCGGACATGTGCTGTGTGCACCTGCACGCGTATGGCACACGTCTGTGCGTGGGTGAGCAGATATGCCCTGTGTGCACCTGCACGCGTGTGGCACACGTCTGTGCACGGGTGAGTGGATACGCCCTGTGTGCATCTGCATGCGTGTGGCACACATGTCTGTGCGTGGGTGTGCGGACACACACTGTGTGCACCTGCATGTGTGTGGCACACATGTCTGTGCGTGGGTGAGCAGATACACCCTGTGTGCACCTGCACACGTGTGGCACACGTCTGTGCACGGGTGAGCGGATACACCCTGTGTGCATCTGCATGCATGTGGCACACATGTCTGTGTGTGGGTGTGCAGACATGCGCTGTGTGCACCTGCATGCGTGTGGCACACATGTCTGTGCGTGGGTGAGCAGATACGCCCTGTGTGCACCTGCACGCGTGTGGCACATGTCTGTGCACGGGTGAGCGGACACGAGCTGTGTGCATCTGCATGCGTGTGGCACACATGTCTTTGGGTGTGCAGACATGTGCTGTGTGCACCTGCACGGGTGAGCAGATACGCCCTGTGTGCACCTGCATGCATGTGGCACACGTCTGTGCGTGGGTGAGTGGACATGTGCTATGCACCTGCATGCGTGTGGCACACGTCTGTGCGTGGGTGAGCGGACACGTGCTGTGTGCACCTGCATGCGTGTGGCACACATCTGTGCGTGGGTGAGCGGACACGTGCTGTGTGCACCTTCATGCGTGTGGCACACATGTCTGCATGGGTGAGTGGACATGCGCTGTGTGCACCTGCATGCGTGTGGCACACATGTCTGTGCATGGGTGAGTGGACACGTGCTGTGTGCACCTGCATGCATGTGCGTGGGTGAGCAGACACGTGCTGTGTACATCTGCATGCATGTGACACACGTCTGTGCGTGAGTGTGTGGACATGTGTGCACCTGCATGCGTGTGTGCACCTGCATGCGTGTGGCACACATGTCTGTGCATGGGTGTGCGGACATGTGCTGTGTGCACCTGCATGCGTGTGGTACACATATCTGTGCATGGGTGAGCGGATACACCCTGTGTGCACCTGCATGCATGTGGCACACGTCTGTGCGTGGGTGTGCGGACATGTGCTGTGTAAACCTGCATGCGTGTGGTACACGTCTGTGCGTGAGTGAGCGGATACACCCTGTGTGCACCTGCATGCATGTGGCACACGTCCATGTGTGGGTGTGCGAACATGTGCTGTGTACACCTGCATGCGTGTGGTACACATCTGTGCGTGAGTGGATATGCCCTGTGTGCACCTGCATGCGTGTGGAACACATCTGTGTGTGGGTGAGTGGACATGTGCTGTGTGCACCTGCATGCGTGTGGCACACGTCTGTGCGTGGGTGAGCGGATACACCCTGTGTGCACCTGTATGCGTGTGGTACACATGTCTGTGCGTGGGTGAGCGGACGTGCTGTGTGCACCTGCATACATGTGGTACACATGTCTGCGTGGGTGAGCAGATACGCCCTGTGTGTACCTGCATGTGTGTGGTGCACATCTGTGCGTGAGTGAGCGCATACACCCTGTGTGCACCTGCATGCGTGTGGCACACGTCTGTGTGTGGGTGAGCAGACACGCGCTGTGTACACCTGCATGCATGTGGTACATGTTTGTGCGTGGGTGTATGGACATGTGCTGTGTGCACCTGCACACGTGTGGCACACATCTGTGCGTGGGTGAGCAGACATAACCTGTGTGCACTTGCATGCGTGTGGCACACATCTGTGTGTGGGTGAGCTGACACGCGCTGTGTGCACCTGCATGCATGTGGCACACACACAAGCCCCTGCTTGTGGTTGTTTCCTCCTTGGATTTCAAGGCATGTACCAACTGATTCTGCATTTGGGCAGATTTGCTCTTCATGGTCTGATAAAGAGGTGTAGGCTGGGGGCAGATCTGGGAGGTCATGGTTGTTGGGGGAGGTGGCGGTGAGCGGGATGGGGTGGGGAAATGAGCGTGGATAATGGGGGCCTGGGTGCCAAGCCTGCCTCTTACTCCCTTTACTCTGTTTCTTGATTCCAAGCCTCCATTCGGAGAAGAAAAGGGGGTGAGTCATCTGCCTGTGTCCCCAGGGCCTTGGCTTTGCCTGACCCCTGTCTGGGGGAGTGCTGGTGTGTGAGGAGGTTCCAGCGCAAGTCAGGGTGGCCCAGAAGCCTGGGCTGCAGCCTCCTGTTGGCCTTCTCCCTGGGGATTTGGTAGGGGCATGAGAGAAGGACCTGCAAGGATGGATGGGGAGTTCCCAGGGGTGTGACCCTCTGGGACTGTGATGGCCTTGGGGGCTCAGGTGAGCCTGGGGCCTGTGAGCTATGCAGATGGCCTGATGGAGGCAGCCCGTGGGGAGGAGCTGGGAGAGCTCCATGGAGGCCACTGCATGCGCCATGGCCCAGAGAGCAGGAAGGAAAGGGCTCCGAGGGTCCCAGAGGGGGAGCTCTAGGGAGCAGGGAGACTGGGCCGTGTTGGCGTGTGCGGCCCCAGTCTACATTGCTTCTTTCTGCTGGTCCTCTCGGGGCCTGTGCCTGGGTTGTGGGACGTATTCCCGTGCTGGTTGGTTGTAGGGCCAACCCCAGAGCTGATGGCCCCTTCAGAGCAGGGGTCTGAGTTCCACAGCACTGGGGAAGGAGCTTGGAACTCCCCTGGCCAACAGCCCCCCAGGCTGTTGACTGCCCTCCCGAACCCCCGTTCAGGACTCCCTCTACCCTTTGGGGCTGCTCCGTGTATGTCCTGTATGTTCAGCCTGGCTGCAGGGAAGAAAGCATTCAGGTGGGAACAGTCACCTGGGCCTGGGTACTGAGGTCCACTGTCCGGTGAGGTCCTGGGACCCAGCTGCTGGCAACCTCCTCCTGGCAGCCTCGTCTGCCTCTCGGGTGGAGTCAGGGCCAGACAGAGGCTTGAGGTGGCTTTCTCCACCCAGGCCTGTATATTTGCTCCATATGTTTGTACCTGATGCCGTCCCTCCCTCTCTCTGGACCCACTGGGCTTTCCCTGGGTGAGGACACATCTACCAGGCCCTTGGCCCAGCCCTCTTGAGGCCCCCTTGCTGCCTCCTGCCCCAGCCCGGGTGAAGGGCTTCCCCAGTGTCTTCTCAGGTATTAAAAACAGGTGACAAGGTCTCCCCCAGTGACCTTTTCTGCATGCCTTTGGGGCAGACACACAAGCTATTTCTGGAATCTTCTGGCTCTGCCCTCCAGCTCGTTAGTGGGACTCCCAGGGTGCCGTGTTGCAGCCCAGGTGCTGCTCCAGTCGTGGAAGAAGTGATGGCTGATTGATCATCCTGCAGGCTGGGGCCCTATTGATCAAACAGCTGCAAACCCAGCTGTGCCCTGCCATGCACCCAGAGGGCCCTGGGAGTGAGCGGGTCCACTTGGTTCCTGATGGGCTTCATTTCCCTTAATTATTTAAAATAATTTATTTAAGAATGTATTCTCTAGTATTGGGGAGAGAGTTATGTCAACCTCATCAGTTTGTAATTTGCAGAATTCTTGATTAATTTTTTCCCTTTTGAAAACACTTCTCACCTGGCGCCAGCACCATCACCGGATGACCAGAAGCAGCTGCCTCACTAAACGTTATGTGCATCCCGCTGCAGGTCTCTGGGATGGGTCTTTCGGACCTAGAGAGACAGCCTCTCCTAGCCCGTGGCTCAGGTGGTAATGTGTCACCCGTGATGCTGAGCCGTGTGCCTCACGCAGTTTTCTCTCCATTCATGTCTTTACTTCTGCAGTTTCTGGGGAGTATGGTGCTTAGGTCTCATCTCTTACTTCCTAGTCAGTGATCTGGGGCAGTTTCTCTCTCTGAGCTTCAGTTTGCTCCTGGCTTGGATAAAGGTGATGATAAAATCCTCGTGTAGCTGTGGGATGAGAGGAGTGGTTTGCATGAAGTCCCGCATACTCCAGAAATCACCAAGAACTTAACAAATGGTGGTGATGGTGACTTCAGCTCCCAAAAATAAATCATTCACTTCATGACAAAAGCAAATGAGAAGTCCCCTCAAACCAGCAACCGCTGGGCTGTACCTGGGCCTCCGTCACCTGGTGGCACCGGGAGCCGTGCACAGGCCCAGATATCTGCAGTTGGAGCCTGTTTTGCCCGTAAACTCTTGCATTGTTCAGGGCGCAGGCTGGGCACTGATGGAACACAGAGAACAGTATTTGCTCTCTTCTGCAGACCCACAAGCTGTCTGGGGAGACGAGGCACCCAGACATGAATTGTGCGGAATTGTGCCCAGTGCCAGCACAGTTGTAAGCCTTTCTTCTGTGCTAATTCTCTCTAGAGACACATGAAGCTAGCGCTGTTTTTATGCCTGTTTTATAGACGAAGACACAGAGGTCACAAAGAGCTTAACTCAGGACATAGTCAGTGTACAGGGTGGGTCTGGTCTGGGTTGGGTACAGGACAGTCTTGGGGAGTTATTTCCTTTTACCAGCAATGCTAAGCAGATTGCAGAGGTAGAACCAGCAGGTACTGTGAACAGCTGCAGATTGGAGTTGGAAGGAGTAGCAGGTGTCCAGGCTGACCATTGAAATTCTCCAACAAGGGGCCAAGACAAGAGTGGCCAGACAGGGTCCCTCTAGGGTTGGCACAGCCCCAAAGAGTGGAGAAGGGCCTGGGGTTGGGTGGAGCCTGAGTGATGGGTGGGGTGCAGTGGGGCTGCTGAATGACGGCTGGTGCAGCAGCCAGGTGGACATGGGTGCTGCCCCAGCCCTTGCTGCATACCCCATGCACTGGTCCTCAGTGGACCCACAGGGGGCGAGAGCTACTGATGTCCTGGGGGAGCCATCCAACCAGAGCTCTGATGGTCCTTAGATATATGTATTAGTTTAACACAGTTTCCAAGTCACTGTGATCATTAGTGGAAACCTGCTTGAACATCAGGGTCTGTCCTAGGGCTGTGACCCACTGTGAACAGCTTCCCTTCCAGTGCGGTGCAGAGCGCCAAGAGTGGCCTGTACGTGCTGAGAACGGTGACAGGACGAAGGGAAATGGAGGGAAATCCAGGGAGACTGTGGTCTCTGAGTTGTTTGTCTGTCACCTGCCCTGGTCTTCTCCCTCATGGGCAGAGTGGCCTTTTCTTAAGTGGGGTCCACGGGGTCACCTGGAGTCTCCTTGAGGATAGAGAGGCTGCCTGGGGTGGGGTCTCAGTTCTGGGGTGAGGGCCTTGTCTTGGGGGCCTGGGGTGGGAGCTTAAGGAGGGAGGGGAGTAGTGGCCTCTGTCAGCATCACGGGTGGCCAGGCTGGGGAGGACGTGGCAGTGGGGCAGGAGGTGGCCCAGGACCTGAGATGGAGCCTCCTTGCTGTGCAGAGAAGCTGGACGAGATGCTGGCAGCCGCCGCAGAGCCAACGCTGAGGCCAGACATCGCAGACGCAGACTCCAGAGCTGCCACCGTCAAACAGAGGCCCACCAGTCGGAGGATCACACCCGCCGAGATCAGTGTAAGGGCCACGGGCGGCTGGGAGCACTGGGATGGGCAGGCATGGGGGTCAGTCTGTCCTGGGCCACCCCCTCCAGAGGGGTGTGTGCACCCTATAGCCTCTCTCAGAGACTCTTGGGGCTGTCTCTGCCCCCTAAATGACCACAGCTCAGCACCTGCTGGTTTCGCTTTTGTGGCTTTTGGTGCTTCTGCCTTCAGGCAGTCCCTGTCTCACGCCTGAGACCACCAAGGTACCCCAGCTCTGCTGAGAACATGACGAAGCATGTTTCTGTTCCCTGCCCACTTGCCGACCCGGTGCCTTCTGGGCTCCTCCCCCACCTCACCCAGGGTCAGCCAGGGTCTGCACCCACCCTGCCCAACACCGTCTACACTGTACCACCATCTGCACTGCCCACACAGCCCAGGCTCCAATGGGCTACATCCCCTGCTCCCTGAGGGCAGAGCCTAGACATGATTCCTGGGTCCAGGCACCCACAGGCACTGGTGCCATTGGAGTGACAGCAGTGGGGTATCTCACTTCCGGCTTAGGAGGAGGACTGGGGCCCCCCAGTGCCCTGGAACCTCCATATTCCCCTCCCTGACCCCCACAGTCATTGTTTGAACGCCAGGGCCTCCCAGGCCCAGAGAAGCTGCCGGGCTCCTTGCGGAAGGGGATTCCACGGACCAAGTCTGTAGGTATGGCTGGGCTGTGGGGCTGCATGGGGTTGGGAGAAACGGGGCTGGAGCTGGCAGGGTGGATTTGGGTTGGAAGGACCCTGTTTCTCCCTGCTGGTAACTGGGGTTTTCAGTTTCCCTCTGAGTCCTGCCGCTTCCTGGCCCCAGCTGAAGGATCTCATATGTTGATGGACCTGTGAGGATTAGGCCTTCCCCAACCCAGAGATTCCCCCCGGCAGCTGACACTCCCTGTCCAGTGGGCATCCCCCGATCGCTTCATCCCTCCCATGAGCAGCCTCACCCCTGTCCCCAGCTGCCACTCCCTGTCCACTGGGCACCCCCACCTCCCCATAGCCTCTCATCCTTCCCATGGGCAGCCTCACCCCTGTCCCCAGCTGCCACTCCCTGTCCACTGGGCACCCCCACCTCCCCATAGCCTCTCATCCTTCCCATGGGCAGCCTCACCCCTCCCCAGCTCAGCAGCCTCCATCGCCGTTGCTTCTCTGCAGCCCAAGTGCATGTGAAGTTTCTGACCCTAAAACTCCCCTCCCCTGAACTTGCCTCTCCCCTACTCCTCCATGTATCGATCTCTCCCCCCTTCACAGCCAGTTTCCCCAAAAAGTCACCTCCACTTGCCATCTATCTCCCATCCCCCACCTGCTCCTCAGCCTGCAGCAGACTTGCTCTCTCCATACCCAAATTGAAACTGCTCCCCCCAGGGTCACCGGTGGCCTGCAGGGCCTTCCTCCCGTGGACATGGCCAGCACTCCTGCTGACCTCAGCTGGCATGCGGTTTCTCTGCTCCTCCTTCCATGAAACGCTCCTCCCCAGAGTCTGAGGACAACACTTCCTGGTTTTCCCCTCCTTTCTCAGGTGGCACCTGTTTTGACCCTGCCGTTCCAGCCTCCCAAATATGGGACCTTTTCAAGGCTGTGTCTTCAGCCTCCTTCCCCTCTGTGCCTCACCACTCCCCGGCCACCATCACACCCCACACTCACTGTCTCCTGACCCAGATGACAAGCCCTGGCCACTGTGCATCCCTCTAGGCGTCCATTCTCCTGTCCCCTGCCCACCTGTGCATCTGTCCACCCACACACCTGCCCACTTGACCGTCTGTTGTCCATACAAACCCCAGCACACCCCCGCATCTGTTACACATAGGAGTAAACCTCTCAGCACTTACTACGGGCTGGACACTGAGTGTTTAATACTTAGAATAACCATATTGAGGTTGAGGCCACTAGTACGTCCATTTTACAGATGAGAAAACTGAAGCAAGGAGGGTAAATGACCTGCCAAGATCACACAGCCGCCCAAACTCTTGATTCCTCACCTGCCCCAGCACCCTGCCAATTTGTGTTCACACAAGGCCGATCCTGGGCCAAGTCTGGGGCTTAGTTGGGGAATGTGACGTGTGCAGAGAGCTCAGCGGGCACATGGTGGGTATCAGGGCTCACGGACCAATGGAGCCCACTGGGGAGCTCCAGGCACACCTGGGTGTCACAGAAGGCTGTGTGTGTCGGGGTGGGGGTACTTTTGAGCTAAGATGTGCAAGATAAATGGGAGTTTCTGGGGGATACTGGGGCGAACTGACAGAGCAGTGTGGAAAAGGCATATGGGTGTGTGGACTGGTCCCTCAGAGACTACCGAGAGTTATTTCTGTAGGTGGGATTGTGGGGAAGAAGGCTGGTGAGGCTGCAGCTACCTTGGAGCTGAGAAGCACTCTCCTCTGCGCTCCCCGACCTGAGCCCTGAGTGTCTCCCATGGTTTCTCTCTTACCTTCTGCCTCACCTGACCTGTCGGGGTGGGTGGCCTTACAGCCCTGCCCCGCACAGCTCTCATCGCCTTGCAGCTGGGCCATGGCTTTGTTCTCATGACTGCCTGCCCTGGCTCTGCCCTCTAGTCCATCCCTCTGGCCAAACGAGGCTTTTCACAGAGCTGCTATCACTCCGTATCTGTCCAGCTTGATCCTCTGTGTGCTCCTCATTGCCTCGGGGCCCCGGAGATCGGCCCCAGTGCTCTCTTGCTTCATCTGGAAACAGTTGTCTCTGCCTCCCTTGACCTGGGTCTTCTGACTCTTGCTTCCTGGGCCTGACCCTGCAGGTCTAGGTCCATGCACCTGCCCTGCAGGCCTTAAGCCACTCTCCTAGGACTGCCAGTTCTGCCCTGGTCCCTCAGGCACCCTCTTGCGCTCGGTTGATGAATGGGTTGACAGGCGCTCCTTTTTGGCTCCCCTTGGCCTGCTGGGCCTCAGCTGCCAACATGCACATTGGTTGGGTTGTCAGACTCCCCAGGCCCCTGCCCCATGCCCTGGCTCTGTTGCCCTGGGCACACAATGCAACCCTTGAAACATCAGGATTTTGATCCATAAACACGGAGACCACCGATTCCACCTCCAAGAACCACTCTGAGGCTCGCCCGGTAGGCAGCACTCACAGGCTAGGACTGCGTGGCATGCTGGGAGTGCTCAGCAGCCGCCAGTGTTAGTAGACATAGATGCCGCCTCTCGAGGTTGGCACACAGTAGGTGCTCTCTGGCACACAGTAGAAATGCTCTCTGCTATTATCTAGGCAGACAAAGAGGGTCTGCCTTTGTCCCCAAGGGGTCCCACCCCTGCCCCAGATGGTATCAGAACAGATTCCCTACTCCATGCTGAGGCAAGTGACTTTTCTTTACCCTAAGTCAGAACTTGGCATGCTATTAGCATTAAATTTCCCCTTATTTCATCTTTGCACGTCACTCCCGCCTTCTACATCCTCAAGGTGTGCTCGTTCTGTGTCGCTCCATCTAACACATAGGCTTGTGGGTGTTCACTGCGTGTTCATACACAGTGCAGGGAATGCAGCAGGAGACCCAGGACGAACTGGGCACAATTTCTGTGTCCAGCGGTTGGGGGTGAGGGGAAGGCAGACCTACAAACAACGATGATGATGACCTGGGCCCCTTCCTGGGATACTGCTGCGGTTCAGCCCTGTACTGTAAAGGTGAAGTTGCCCCACAGTAGGTGCAGGCTGTCTTCCTGGCATGAGGAAACTGAAGTTCCTAGAGGTTAAGGAATGTCAGTACCTAGCAGATCTAAAATTTAAGCCTAGTTCTGTGCACAAAAGCCCACCCTTGGTACCTTGGCTACAAACAGATATTATGCCCAGTAAGAAGCAGTGTAGTGTTGCAGTATTAGCACTGCGGTGGCTGGACGAGGATGCAGTCAGGAACGGGCAGCCTGTATTGTAGCAAGTTCATAAAAATGTTGACCAATCTCAGAGTGAGGCTGGGAACAGGAGCACCACGAGACCTGGGTGCGTGGGTGTGGGGCCATCCGCCCCCTGCAGCCTCACTGAACACACCTGTAGCACATGTGTCCACATCATGATGTCCACAGGGGTGCTCAGAAGGTTGTATCAGGTTCTGGCTGGACAGCAGGATCATGAGGGCCCTGAGCACTCCAGCCCTTGCACAGGATCCTAACAATGACGTCTGAGCAAGGCATGCAGAGGGGGGTTCATTTTAAGCCTGTTTTGACCATAGAAGAACTGAAGCTCAAAGGGGCTCAGGGATTGGCCTGGGGTCACGCTGCCAGTAGGGGTTAAAATGAAACATGCTGGGTGCTCAGTCTGCAGTTCCCATTTTAATTCATCCATCCATTCTTCCCTTTACCCAGTCACCCAACCTTACTGAATTCCAGCCACTGTGGTTGCATCACCCACCCATGTGGGTCTCTGGGAGGAGCCTCTGAAGGCTTTTTCCACAGGGCACCTCCTTACCTGGGTATTAGCTCTTTCCCTGCCTGAGGCCTGGCTCCAGTGGCCACAGCCCTGCTGCCCCTCATCCTGCCAGTGTGTCACTCCTGCTCATTTCCGACCATCTTCCTCTCACCTCTGGTTGCCTCCAGGGCTGCTACTTCTGCCTCGGCCTTGTTCATTCAGGGGTGCGGAGCCCTGTACTGGCCCCTCCAAGCCCCTCAGCAGTTCTGTCTGCATGTCTTGCGGGGCTGTCCCTGCCTTCCTGGGATATCTTCCTAGGGCCTGCTTGATCAAGTCCCTGGGTTTGGGCAGGTCTTGGCCCCAACCCAGGTCATCAGAGTTTGTGTCCTTTCTCCGGGGCCTTCCTCCATCTTGTAACTGAACGCACACCTCTCTCCTGCCCTCTTCACAAGAGCCCTCCCCGTGCAGCCCTGGGCCTGGGGCACAGAGCTTGGACGTCCAGGGACCAGCGCAGACTGGGGTCTTGCTCGGAGCCCGTGCTCTGGGCTCCCTGTTTCCCCTGCTCTCCATTCCCCGCCCACCACGGGCCCCAACCCCATCTTCCCGAGCATTCTAGCGCCTCGCGCCGCGCTGGCTTCTGCCGTGGGCGTCCATCAGTTGTGTCCGGGACGGTGGCTGCCCCGGGTGGAGTCGGGGCAAGGCTGGCCTCTGTGGGAGGGGGTGCCGGGGTCCCCAGGAGCCTCTGGGAAGGCAGCACCCGCCCCCGCCCCCGCGCCCTGGCTGGTCTCACCGGCCCTTCCGTCCGCAGGGGAGGACGGGCCCCAACCCCATCTTCCCGAGCATTCTAGCG